TGTGTCTGTCTGTCTGTGTGTGTCTGTCTGTCTGTGTGTGTCTGTCTGTGTGTGTCTGTCTGTCTGTGTGTGTCTGTCTGTCTGTGTGTGTCTGTCTGTGTGTGTCTGTGTGTGTCTGTGTGTGTCTGTCTGGTGGTGGGTTGCCTGTAGTGTGACATGAACCCAAGATCCCATTTGAGGCCGTCCTCATGGGTACCGAACTTGGCCATCACCCTCTGCGTGGTGACTCTGCGTTGTGACTCTGCGTTGTTGTGTATCCTGAAGTTGGCCTTGGAGGACGTTTACCCGAAGATCCGAGGCCGAATGTCCTTGACCACTGAAGTGTTTCCCCACTGGGAGGGAACATTCCTGTTTGGTGATTGTAGTGCGGTGTCCATTCATCTGTTGTTGTGGCGTCTGCATGGTTTCGCAAATATACCATGCCTTGGGGCATCCTTGCCTGCAGCGTATGAGATAGACAATGTTGGCCAAGTCACATGTGTATCTGCCATGCACATGGTGGGTGGTGTTCCCACGTGTGATGGCTGTGTCCGTGTCGAAGATCTGACATGTCTTGCAGAAGTTGCCATGGCAGAGCTGTGTGGTATTGTGGTTGATGTCCTGAAGGGTGGGCAGTTTGCTGTTTAAGGTCTGATGGTTGTTTGAAGACGAGAAGTGGAGGCATAGGGAAGATCTTGACGAGGTGCCCATTGTCATCGATAACGTGTTGAAGGCTGCAAAGAACATGGTGTAGTTTCTCCACTCCTGGGATGTACTGGATGGTGAAGGGTACCCTTTCAGACGTATCCTGTGTCTGTCTTCTGAAAAGGTCATTACGATTTTTCACATCAGAACTGGCAGTCGATGAATTGAGCATTGTATCCTGTTCCTATGAGGTCATCCTTGAACACCTTCAGGTGTCCGTCTTGTTCCCCCTCATCCGAACAGATCCTGTGTATGCATAGGGCTTGTGTGTAGCGGATAGCTGTTTTAATGTGTTTCAGGTGGAAGCTAGAGAATTGCAGCATCATGAGGTTATCCTTAGGCTTGCAGTAGAGTGAGGTATTGAGTTGTCTGTCCCTGATGGGGATGTGTGTGTCCAAGAATGACACTGATTCTAAAGAATAGCCCATGGTAAGTCTGGTGGGGTGAAACTTGTTGATATCGCTATGTAGTTGTTTGTGATTCTTTGCCATGAGTCCAAAGGGAGAAAATGTCGTCAGTGTATCTGGTGTATAGCATTGGTCGGAGGTTCTGTGCAGCAAAAAAGTCTTGTTCAAACCTGTGCATGAAAATGTTGGCATTACCTACATGCACACCAAGAACGAGAAACTTGGCATCACCACCAGGAATAATCAAGTCTCTCCTGGTACCACCACGGGAAAATCCATTGTCAACTTATCTGACCACATCTTTCAACCAGACGAGATCAAAGCTCTCAGCCAAGGACTCAATTTCTGCCCCACACCAAAAAGGACCCCATTGGTCTCGAGGCAGACACAGAGGAATTCATCAGACAAATGAGACTCTGGGAATTCTTCCAAGGTGTCAGCAGCAAGCCCAATGAGACAACCAATGAACCGGATCATTGACAGAGATCAGTGGGGGAGCAGGCAAAGGAGTTGAATTGGATCCCTCCGGAGGGCTGTTGCCTGGGGCTTACCAGGTATGCTCAAGCCATCAGAGAATGCATGAACACCAGGTTCATCAGCTGCACTCACAAGGTAGCACAAAACGTCACCCAATGGCGTCCATGCTCTCAAGACCAATTATAACATTGCCATCAAACCAGCAAAGGAGGAGCCCTTGTCATACAGAATAGAACAGACTACTGCAAGGCAGTGTACTGACAACTGCACAACCAGGAACACTACAGACAACTACCTGCCGATCCAACGGAGAACAACATCCATCAAGAAACAGACTGATCAAGACTTTTGGTCCAGTCCATTGGAGTACCCTACGCACTCTCACCCCAAATACTTTCCATGTAGGGGACTTTTACTGCCTTCCAAAGATACATAAAGCCAACACACCTGGAAGTCCCATCATATTGGCAATGGGACCCTGTGTAAGAACTTCTCTGGCTACGTCGAGGGCATCTTGAAACCCATTGTACACAGAACCCCCAGTTTCTGTCACAACACTACAGATTTCTTACAGAAACTCAGCATCCATAGGCCAGTGAAACCAGGAACATTCCTCATCACAATGGACGTTTCGGCAGTCTACACCAGCATCCCCCACCACGACGGCATTGCCACAACAGCCTCAGTACTCAATACCACTAACTGCTAATTTCCAGATGCCATCCTCCAACTCATCTGCTTCATCCTCGACCACAATGTCTTCAACCTCAACAACCGGATCTTTATCCAGACACATGGAACGACCAACTAAATCGCACAGATTCTAAACAAAGCCTCACACCTAACATGTATTGTCTGACCTAAAACGTCACCTCTTTACACTGATAAAACCTTTAGTTCTCTCAGGACTGTGACTTGAACAGAATTGGGGATTTACCTATACGCATTAATTAATTAAAACCTTCTAACTGATTAAAGATTTAACAGCATCTTAGGTTTGTTTAGTACATCCTCATCAGTGATTTGAACCTTTTAACATTTACTTACAAATTCTGTGTCTGATACTACCTCTCTCACTAACACCTGAAGAAGGACTGGGGCTCCGAAAGCTTGTGATTTCAAATAAACCTGTTGCACATAACCTGGTGTCGTGTGATTTCTGATCCCGTTTCCAAGACACTCCCTGTTGTATATAGGGAGAGGGATCTCACCCATGCCACTTGCAGTCTGGTGAATGGGATGGAGATCAAACCCTTCCTGGGCAGCTGGCACAAATCCATACCTTACTTGCTCTTCTGTAAGAGTGACTGTACCCTCCCACCCTTGAAACTACCACCCACCACCTCCTTTGATGCTCTGCTCTGAGGTCAGGCCCTGTGCCACAATCTGCCAGTAATTCTGTCCCATCCTC